GTGGAATGTAAACAAATGGAGGGATGGTGGCAGGAATCCAGTTCTGGGCGACTTCAAGGTGGTGGTACAAGGGCGTGGCAACAAGTGAGGACAAAGGCTGTTCCATCACCTGCAGAAGACCAGGGACTGGACAGATGGGGAGCACAGTGGGAAAAGGCCAAGGAGGGCGTCCAGGTTTCCTGTGAGTAACTGAGTGGGTGGAGGGGCCTTTTACTAAGGAGGGAACAGATCCTGGAGAAGGGACAGTTTGAAACAGAAGATCTGTATATGAAGGTAACCTGTGAAACCTCCAAGAGCTGTTCAAGTCACATGACCATGATGACGTTCAGAAGCGAATGAAAAATGGCATCGTGCGTGCGTGCTAAATTGCTTCAGTCGTGTCTGTCTCTCTGCAACCCCATGAACTGTAGCCCCCCAGGTACCTCTGTCCAAGAATACTGGCGTGGGTTGCTATGCCCTCCTCCAAGAGATCTTCCTGACCCAGGGATTGAACCTGAATCTCTTATGTCTCCTGCATTAACAGGTGGGTTCTTTACCACTAGCGCCACCTGGGAAGCTCATGAAAAATGGCATCAATGTTAAAAAAACAAGCAAACGTGTTCTAGAACTGGCTAAGACATCACAGCACACTTCTTCATTCTATGTTTAAGTGAGGCAGTGGGATGGGCCAAGCAGCACAGGAGGCTGAACTCTGGCCTCAAAAATACGCTGAAACCTAAACTCCTGGTTCTGTGCACGTGACCTGATTTGGAAATCAGGTCTTTGCAGATGGAATCTGCTAAGATGAGACCATTCTGGATTACAGTGGGCCTGGAACCCAGTAGCTGGTGTTCCTACAAGGAGAGGGAGGCTTTAAGACACACAGGAGAGAAGAAAGCCAGTTGAAGGTGAAGGCAGAGATTGGAGCCACAAGCCCATGAGCCCAGGGAGCCACCAGGAGCAGAAGCAAGGAAGGATTCGCTCCTGGATCCTTCGGAGTGTGTGGCCCTGCCAGCTTCCTGATTTCAGAATGTTGCCAGCATGACCATGAGGGACTAAACGCCTATTTTAAGCCACCCAGTTTATGGTACTTTACTGCAGCAGCTGTGGAAACTATTACAGAGAGGAAGACTTTGTTTTCGCTTCAGAAGAAACTGGAAAGGAAGGCCTAAGGCAGATAGAAGGCAAGGAATGAGACCGGCAAGACCACGGCACACTAAGTGTTTGGGGAGTCTGGCCCAAACACTTAGGTCTTGAATTCAGTTTTTATATTTCAAAACTGAGGGCAACGGTACTTACTCTGTAAAGTTGCACATGGGGGTACAGTCTGTGCACTGTCAAGGGTAGTTATAAATATGCTATTGCGAGCCACAAATTAGATATTGCATATATTTATGTCGATTATTCAGTAATCTATGAACATACCATGGCAATCCCTTCCTCTTTTATTATAATATCACTGCTGCTGCCATGTCAAGTCTGATAGATCTGTACACATTCATTCCCCTGAAGGCAAAGCTGGTTGACAGTCTGCCATCATTCTAGCACAGTGATTCTCAACTGGGAGACAAATGACAACGTCTAAAGACGCTTTTGGTTGTCAGAGTACGAAGGAGGTCCTACTAGCAAGCAGTAGGCAGAGGCCAGGGAGGCTGCTAAAACATCTTACACAGAATACAGCACCCCCCCCCACCCCCACCCACCGCAACAAAGAACTGTCCAGCCTCAACTGTGCTTCTAGAATTCTGCTCTGGAAGCACCCGACGGCCTGCAGCTTCAGGTACCAAGGATACACTTTCTCATCCACAGCAGTCAAGCTGATCACATATTCTCCTGAAATGTGACACAAAATTATTATCACTATTAATACAGTGACTCACAAGTAGCCCAGAGCTAATGGAAACTTAAGTCCTTCTTGATATCCTAACAAAGGGCAAGAATTCCTGTCCTAGAAGCAGCTAGTGACCATGCTGCTCTGAAAGCACCAGTGGGGATACACATACACACACTGCAGGGCCCAGGCATCCACACACCCCACCCGCCAGCGTAAACCCTCTGCCAGACGAGACTGGAGGAGGAACAGCAGCTGTCCTCCCCAACAGTCCCTCCCAGGAGCTGGGGAGCCTCCCTGAAGCTGAGGAACCCCTGGAGGCCCAGCAGCTGAGCTCCCGGACTGAATTCTGGAATTATATATTCAGCAGTGGGTGGCTGGATCAGGCCCGTGGCGCTGGCACAGGTAGTCCGGTTATCTTTTATCTGGACCTTGTAGCCAAGCCTGAAATACTGCCTCATTCAAAGCTGCTGTATCTTCTCTGTGGCTGCCTCTGGCATGCGAAGCATTTGTAGTTGCCTCCTTGTAGCTATAATGTAAATACGGCTGTGCATACTGGACATTTTTAACCAAGCTTGTTTATCAAGCCTCTATGGTCTGCTCATCCCCTTCGCCATGTATTCAGGTCATAAACAACTTGAACCTCCAGTGCTATTCTTGGAGTCAAGAGCACCTTAAAAATAGGATGAGCTAATTGCTAAGGGCAAGAAAACCCCAGTTTTGGTAAAGGCAAAGTCAGGTACTCAGGGTTGCCCTCTCTGCTGAAGCTGTATGATTTTCTTTTACTGACAAAGAAGTTCAAACATATCTAAGGAAATAAATGTGGGACAGCGGGCAGTGCAACATTAAATGACAAAGTCTCCCTTGGAGGGCAGAGCACACCGCTAAGTAGAACAGCACATATGTTAATCCTAACTTTGAAAAGTCTGTATTTATTGGGTTTCAGGCAAGTTCAAAGATAAAAGTTGTGCCATACTGGTTTAAATACCCTGAATGTTTCCACCACCATGGTCAAAACTACATTTACATTTAGAATTGGCTTGGTACTGTCAATGTAGCTTTTATCATCAAAATCAAAAGTTTAGTTAAAGCTTTTGGTCCATTGAGACAGAGCAAATATTCCAACAGATGGAAAATGTTAAAAGTCAAGAATTCTGGCATTTGAAGATTCATATATAATTACCCTCCTCTAAAAACAAAACATCATGAAGAAAGCCAAAGAAACATGCTATCTCATAGGAAACCAACAACAAAACACAAAAATACAAAAATTACAATTCCTCTCCAATCTGTAAAATAAAATTTACTGAGCTACTTGAACTTTTTAAACTGCCCCAGATAATAGAGATAATTTCTTCTTGAAGTTATGGGAACACTATTTTCCTAAGCATGAAAAATAATCATCAGCATCTTAATGTAGTCATCACAGACACATGGCTTTTCAGGGCAGACCACACAAAATTTTCATGTCATGTTGACAATGAAACGGCTGAAGTAATTCATAATACAGTCTGATTTGAAGGAGCAAAGGAGAAATGGAGCTTTTCTTAAAGCTCAACCTCTGTTTCAATTCAGTTTGAAAAAGGAGAATTCAAATAAATATTTCATGATAATTTGGACATTGAATTTATATATCATAGAAGCCTGTTTCCATGACTCCGTTTGGGCAGTAGTGTGTAGCGTCAGTCACTCCGTTGTGTCTGACTCATTGCGACCCCACAGACTATAGCCCACCAGGCTCCTCTGGTGGCTCAGAAGGTAAAGATTCTGCCTGCAATGCAGGAGACCCAGGTTCTATGCCTGGGCCGGGGAGATCCCCTGGAGAAGGGAATGGCAACCTACTCCTGTATTCTTGCCTGGAGAATTTCGTGATTGCCTTTATCTTGTCTAAATTGTACCCTTGAACTAACAATCGATATTCCTATTATATGCCATCAAGTCAGCCTACCTTTTTCACCTTCACACATGGAAACAAAAAACCCACAGATTTATATTTTAATTCTAAGCTCATATTCTGGGAAAGATAAACTGTTTACAGAGAAATAACAAGAAGAGATTTTATAATCCTATCTATGTAGAGTACATTTAATAAAGAATGCTCCCCAGGGCTTCCCTAGTGCATCAGTGGTAAAGAATCCACCTGCCAATGGAGAAGATAATGGGTTCGATCCCTGACCTGGGAAGATCTGACATTTCAAGAAGCCACTAAGCCCGTGGGCTACAAGTACCGAGCCTGTGCTCTAGCGCCTGGGAACCATAACTTCTGAGCCCTCATGCTGCGACTGCCGAAGCCCGCGTGCCCCAGAGCCCTGCCCTGCAAGCAGAGAAGCCGCGGCAAAGAGAAGCCCGCACACGGCAACTGGAGAGTAGCTCTCATCGGCCTCAACTGGAGGAAAGTCTGTGCAGCCATGAAGACCCAGCACAGCACAAATAAATAGTTAAAAAAAAAGAAATGCTCCCTAGAGAAAGGCAGCGCTAAGGGCTAAGCAGAGTGTGTGTGTGTGTTTTGAGTGGGGACAGTTAGAACAAATATCAAGAAAAAAAGGCTTGTACAGTAGTCCTCCTGGAAGTTTCCCTAGAGTAGAATCTGCCTACACAACCAGAAGTCTAAAGTAAGAAGAAAAAACACTCTGCCACCCATGAGACTGACTTTCTTCCCCGAAGAGGGGAGTACTGGACCACTGCTAACATCCTCCCCATCACAGGGGACCTTTTTTGGACTAACCATTTTTAAGAATCCTGGATTTTTAAATTAAGCGACAGGAAGAACTAGAGTTGCACTTTAGCTTGTTCTCAATCAGAGCGACGTTTATCTGTTTCATACAAAGGTCCTACAGCAGAAGTGTGAAAAACGCTGACGGAGAATAACACCATTGAATAATACCACTGCCTCCCTAGGGATGTCAAGAGAATCCAAGGGCATAAACGTGTGAAATGCTTAGCACAGAGGTTTGCAGGCTATCAAAGCTCAGCAGTGGTTGGTTGGAATGATGATGCCGATAACAATTCGAATCTCTGCTGCAGAGGTAATTTAAAGAAAATGAAGCACAGATGTTCATATGATTCGCTGTGAAGAAATGTCACACTTAACATCTCAGAAGCTTTTAAAAGATGATCACCTCCAATAGTTGCTTGCACCACAGAGTTTTAAAACTGGATGCACAGAGGGCAATGCCACAAAAAGGCTCACCTCTTCTTCTTGGTGATGATGAGCACATCGTTAAACAGGAAGAAGTAGACTAGCTGTCTGGACGTCCTTTTTGAGAAAAGCACCGTGTCTTCCACGTACGCTGTCAGCTCCCCTCTTTTTACCAGCCACCGGGAAGAGGAGACCAGAGGGAAAGGCTGCAAAGAGAGAAACGCTCAGTACGCAAAGCCAAAGTCACGTCTTTTTAGGATCACCAAAAGTAAAGTATACAACTTACATTCAAACAAATGATACGCCGTTATTCTATAATAGTTCATATAATAGGTACATAATGGTAAAAACATAATTAGAGGAGAACACATTCTTCAAGAGAAAACCAAAAGGAACCAAAAGGAATCATGTATTTCTATTTTCCAATAGAAAAAAACTGTTAATATTAACTTGTCTATATAAAGACTAAAACTCAGTCAGAAAATGTTACTAGGTCAATCAAAAATTGTTACCCTTCCATTAACTCTCAACTTTTTGAAAAAAAAGACTGATAAGGAGTCACTTAAAACTGAAAAACCTCAAAATGAAATCTACTTGTATCAACTGTAGCCATTTCAGATACCACAAATCAGAATCCAAATATACCAAAAAACATTGATAACTGTACTTAAAAAGAGACAAACATAAAATAAGAGATAAATATAAAGGTCTGCATTCAATTCATGAATTAAAAAGATTTTATTCAAAAGGAAAGAAAAAAAAATCCCTGCAAATGTATGTTATGTCTATAGATTATCTACTTAGCTGTATTCTGGAAAACACCTATTCTTAAAAGTTTATGGTAGTTTCCCTCATGGAAGTTAGTCCCTGAAAGCATCGTGCCACTTTCTGGTTGTGAAAATGAACTTCTTCCAGAATAATCCACCTTAATCTCACAGAAAAGGCTATATTCAAGGAATTACATATTGCCTTTTCTTTATTCAGTTTACAGTTTCCAACTGGAAAACTCTCAAAACCTCAGAATAATCCTTACCCTTGAGAGTTCCTTTTTTAAAAAATTACCAGAAATGCTTACTGCCAAAAATCTGATTTAAAACACGACATCCATAATATAAGCAAAAGTTCTTGGACACACAAAAGATAACTCTAGTAAGTGTGGTGCAACCAAATGTCATCCATTTCAGAGAATAATGATTAAAAATAGCCAGAGGAAATTGAGGATATAAGGGAGGAAATTCAAAAGCTAAGAAAGGCTTTCATTTTTTTTTTTTAATTTATAAAGAACATTTCTAAGAAGTCTGCTCACAAACACATACTTTTTGGTTGGCCAAAAAGTTCCTTCAGTTTTTAAGTAAAAAATAAAAGACACATTTTTCATTTTCATCAAGAACTTTACTGAACAGCATATCCACCATTTTGTTCTACTATCATCTGCCATTTTTCAGGCAACTTCATAATTTCATCTTCCCAAAACTTTTAATCTTTTCAGGCAAAGAACTGTTTCAAGTGCCTTTTACAGTCTTCCAGAGAATTGAAATTTTTTTCCATTAAGAGAATTTTGTAAAGAATGAAATAGAAATTCAAAGGTGCCATGTCTGGTGAATATGGCAGATGAATCAGAACCTCCCAGCCAAGCTCTAACAGTTTTTGCCTGGTCATCAAAAAAACAGGTGGTCTTGTGTTATCCTGATGAAAGAGTATGTGCTTTCTGTTGACTAACTCTGGGCACTCTGTGGTGAGTGCAGCTTTCAGTTGGTCTAACTGGGAGCAGGACTTGTTGGAATTAATCCTTTGGTTTTTTGGAAGATGTGTATAAGAGAGGTGAACCAATCCAACCCCACCACATACACGACATCACCTTCTTTGAATGAAGACCAGCCTTTGGTATAGTTGGTGGTGGTTCATTTCATTTGTCCAGTGATCTCTTCTGTTCCACATTATGCATAGTATTCACTTTTCATCGCCCATCACAAAAATGGGACATTTTCATTATGTTTAAGTACAGAATTTCATGGGGAAAGATGGTCAAGAAGGTTTTTTTCATTTTAATTTATGTGGAACCCAAACATCAAAGCAGTTAATGTAATCAAGCTGCTGTAAATGATTTTCAATGCTTGATTTGGATATTTTGTGTATGTCTGCTATCCCCCAGGTGGTGTAGCATTGAGTGTTCTCAATTAATGTCTTGATTTGATCGCTATCAATTTCAACTGGTCTACCATCCAGCAAGAAACTTCACAAACCACATCTGATACATTCAATCAGTCACAGCACCTTCTCCATATACCACACAAATCTTTTTTTTCTTTTTTTTGCATTTTAGTCATGCTTTTACCTTTCCTGAAATAATAAGGCATAATACGCAGAAAACGTTGCTTTTTCTTCTATCTTCAATATTAAAATGGCTACACAAAAATTCATCAATTTTGATAAGTTTTTTTTTTCTAAATGCACACTGATGTGACTGCTGTCACAGTATAATCTAACAACTTGTTTTGAATTAAGTTAAAGACAACTAAGCATTATTAGAGCTATCTTATGGAAAAAAACAAACGTTTTGGCCAATCCATATTTTCCTGAAGATTTAACAAAGGAAGATGAAAGATTATGGCTGATCTTAAAACTTCATAAGTGTCTAATAAAAGAGTTCATATAGTTGTCAGTCTCCAAAGTCAAATCAGTCTATGGCTGAGACTTAAAAGGTGACAGAGAGGTTACTTCAATAATTTAGGAGGACCCCCACCAGCAAATATGACAGGTCACAAATTGATTTCAGAGTCAGGTTAGGTCCTGCCACAGGACCATAATTACAAGATAGCACTGAAATCGTGCCATAGATTATATAGGACGAACCAATGAGAGTATTACGTACGTGCCACCCTACGCCTATTCTTAGTTTAGAAGATAAGGGGAAAAAAAAGGTTTTTAAACCCTTGTTCTTGAAATAGATTGAGTTTTTGTTTTATTTTTTAGGTTGAGTTTTATGGACATTTCATAATCCAGTAGGCAAAAATAAATTTCTAATGTATATCTAAAATTGACAGTGGCTTTCTCCAAAGAAGACATAGAGATGGCCAAAAAGCACATGAAAAGATGCTCAGCATCACTAATCATTAGAGAAATGCAAATCAAAACTACGAGAAGGACCTCCGCGGTGGTCCAGTGGACAGGAATCCATCTGCCAGTGCAGGGGACACAGGTTCAATCCCTGATCTGGGGAGATCCCACGTGCCGGGGAACAGCTGAGCCCACACACAGCTACTGGGCCTGTGCTCCAGAGCTTGCGAGCTGCAACCCCTGATGCCGAGCCCGCGGGGTCCGACTACTGAGCTCGTGTGCCACAGCTACTAAAGCCCACACTCCCGGCGCCTGTGATCCGCAACAAGAGAAGCCACAGGCACTGCAATCAAGACTGGCTCCCACACTGCAACCACAGAAAGCTCGCACATGGCAGTGAAGACCCAGAGCAGTCAGAGAGAGAGAAAGAAAGAAAAAACTACAGTGAGGTATCACTCACACTGCTCAGAATGGCCGTCATCAACATTTATACAAACAGTAAATGCTGGAAAGTGTGTATGGGAAAGAGAATCCTTCTACGCTGTTGGTGGGAATGTAGATTGGTACAGCCACTATGGAGAACAGTATGGAGGTTCCTTAAAAAATAAAAACAGATCTGTCATATGAACCAGTAATCCCATTTTCAGGCATATACCCTGAAGAAACCATAATTTGAAAAGATGCATGCACCCTGATGTTCACTACAGCATTACTGATGATAGCCAGGACATGGAAGAAACCTAAATGTCCACTGACCAAAGAATGGATAAAGAATATGTGGTGCATATCTGCAATGGAATATTACTCAGCCAAAAATAGGAATGAAATAGTGCCATTTACAGAAACGGGGATGAGCCTAGAGGCTGTCATACAGGGTGAAATAAGTCAGAAAGAGAAAAACAAATACTGTATAATATCGCTTATATGTGGAATCTAGAAAAATGGTAAAGATGAACTTATTTGCAAAGCAGGAATAGAGACACAGACATAGAGAACAAACTTATGGCTACCAAGGGTTGAAGGGAGAGTAGGATGAACTGGGAGACTGAAGTTGACATATATACACTGCTATGCATAAAGTAGATAACTAATGTGAATCTACTGTATAACACAGGGAACTCTATTCAATACTCAATGACAGGAAGAGGGCATTATAACAGAAGTGTGTGTGTTGTTTTTGGCGAGTACTCATTATCTTCTAAGAAAAATCATGGGTCATGTTTCTGCATTTAAAATGTTACAGTCAGGATGTCATAGCAGAATAGTTTACACTGATCTGCAAGTCAGGATATCTAGACCCTAGCCCTGATTCTGCCACCATAAGCCAAATGACCCTATTAGTGATTAATTATTCTCTGGGCTGTATTTTCCTCATTTATAAAATAAAAGGGTGTACCAGTGACCCTGAACCATATGACACAGTAGAGAGTTATCTGCATAGAGCCGTCATCACTCTAATTCCACAGCTCAAATGCGGAACCCGTTCACTATGAAAAAATATGACCAGTCACTTTAAGCTGCTTAATTATATTCAAGAGGCATAAAAAGAAATAAAATCACAACCATGAGCACTCACATCCATTAAGGATTCAACTGTGAGCAACAAAGGACTTGACAATGGCCTAGCCTGGCCACGGTCATTTCCTTGTTCATCCTGTCATGTTCCCCTGAGCAGTAAGGGACACGCAGCAACACGCAGCACATAGGCACAAAAAGAATTATGTAAGAAAGACAAACGTGAAAAGAATAATCCACTAATTATCCTTTTTGCCAACTGGGAAAGGAGTCCCCTCATTTGATTGAGGAGAAATGCCCTAGTCCAGCTCATGGGATACCACTGTTTTGCCGGACACTTTGGCTCAGACAGTAAGGAATCTGCCTACAACGCAGGAGACTCACGTTCGATCCCTGGGTCTGGAAGATCCCCTGGAGAAGGGAATGGCCACCCACTCCAGTGTGCTTGCCTGGAGAATCCCACAGACAGAGCAGCCTGCTGGGCTATAATCCATACAGCCCATGGAATAAAGAGTTGGACACACCTGAGCAGCTAACACTTTCACTTTTATTTTTTTTGGAGAATACGAAAGCAATCTCCTTTCCAGTCTAAAAATTCTGTCATTTTACTACGTCTCCTCAAGTTTGGTCTCTTCCTCAGAGGGAAAAAAAAGTTCTAGTTAGATAATACCTAACTCAGTGGTTTAGAGAAAGGTCACTTTATCTGGGATAAGCAAGAGCAGAATTACCCACAACAAAGAATCTGCTGCTCCGCCTGCCAGCCTCTGTGTAATCAATTTACAGCCCTGCTTTGACAAGCAAATTCCTCCACACTCTGCTACTCTCCACTACCTCCCTATTCACTGAAGATCTCAGCAAAAGCAGTAATAAATCTGTTTATGAAGAAGTACGAGCGAGTACCTTAATTTTAAATTCCAGCTGGGAGTTAATTGTGTACATCATTTCTGTCCTTTCCATCTTCCGGGCTCCTTCATTGCAGAGTCTCACCAACTGGAAACAGAGAAGAATCAGGGAGGGTTAAGAGGTGAAAGAGAGAAACCAAACTATCAAATGCAGATCTTGCAGGAAATAATTAGCACTTTGGAAACCTCCAGACAGTTCAAGAATCTCCAGCTTCACACAGTTGAGACTCTGTACCCAGTTGGATGTGGTGTCATTAGGATGTGCAGACAGAGGAAGAATGCCCTGAGAGTTTTCAGGGACACACGTCCTCGTGTTGTGTGTGTTACCACATCACACGCTTCACATACACGAGGCAGGTTCACTGCGTGGTCCAGCCTGTCCGTTCTGCCCCTGCTCCTCGCCTTCACCCATGGGAGCCCCACCAAGCCCAGGGCAAGCTGCACCTCTCTCTCCTCTTCAAATCAGAGCAGCCTGAGGGCAGAATACCGGACTTCAAAGGCAAATTCTCAGCTAAATGCTACGCTCAAAGCATGTGACGGGTAACCTAGATTCTGGAAGAGGACAGCCTTCCGCTGGAACCTAATAGTCAGTGATTCTTCAAGCTGAGGGGAATGCAGTTTAATTAGCACTACTGAGTTATCCACAAATAGATGGACTAATAATCCTTGGATGAGTAGCTGTGATACTGTGATTTATAATAAAACAGATATTTTGTCTTCTAGCCACTGTTTCTGGCACATGGCTCCTAAAACCCTTGTCATTTCCTATATAAGAGCCTTGGGGGCATCTCTGGCTATAATTTAGTATTGTTACCAGTTCCTGAAGTAACTCCAGGACATAAAAGTGAACTGAGTATCTTCTGTTATTCATAACAAGCCCCTTTCAACCTTGTCTGAATTTATATTAATGAGGCAATTTTCGGAAAGCTCCTAAAGATGGGGTTGGTTGCCAGGGGAACCATTCAAATAATTAGAGAAAAGACTGGAACTTTCAGGCCTACCACCTGACCTGCAGGGAGGGAAGAGGGGCTAGATATGACTTGATCACTACTGAGCAGTGGTTTAATAAATCATGCCCATGTATAGAAGCCTCCAGAAAAACTGCTGAATTCTGGAATGGGAGAATTTCCAGGTTGGTAAGAAGATGGCATCTCAAACTCTGAGGATAGGACATCCGAAGCTTGGGACCCTTCTGGACCTCACCCTATTTCTTCCTTTGGCTGTTCACTCATATCCTTTAGCATCCTTTGTAACAGCGCACCAATCTAGTAAGTAAACTGTTTTCCTGAGTTCTATGAGCCCCTCGAGCAAATTCATCAAACCCATGCAGGGAGCAGGTGGTGCAAACTCCTGATTTACAGCCAGTGGGTCAGAAGCACAGGGAACAACCTGGACTCGTGAAGAGTAACCAGAGTGAAGTGTGGGCTGTGGCCTGGGGGCCCTGAGGCCTTACCCTGTGGGATGCGCTATCTCCAGGCGGAGTGAAAACTGAACTGAATAGAGGAAGCCACGCGGGCTTCCCAGGTGGCACTAGTGGTGAAGAACCGGCCTGCCAGTGCAGGCAGACACAAGAGACACGCGCTGGATCCTTGAGTCGGGAAGATCCCCTGGAGGAGGGCACGGCATCCCGCCCCAGGATTCTCGCCCGGAGAATCCATGGACAGAGGAGCCTGGTGGGCCACACAGTCGGACACGACGGAAGCGATTTAGCACGCACACATGCGCAAAGCCACCGAGCTGGGAGGGCAGGGTTGCTCAGCCTGGGGAAAGCCCGCACACATTCGGTGACCACAAGCGTCAGAAGTGAAGCGTTCTGTGCGTAGAGTATTGTGCACGGAGGATCCACCCAAGAGTTTCTCCTTTGTATTGTACCTAATATAGAATTATTAGTTTGCTGGCCTAAACCAAGAGAACTTTTGTATTGTTAATTTCTCATTAACTGAAAAATCTGTAAAACATGCCCATAACAAGGATCACTGGCCATAAAGACAGTGTGATTGTCAAAAACAGAAGCTAGAAATTCTGATTAGATTTACTTTAATATTGGTGCTTTATTAAGTAGCTCCTATTCTAAAAAGAAATGTTAACACATAAGTAAACAAAGCAGGCCATAAAAGGCTCTGACCTAATCCTACAAAGGCTCTGACCTAATCCTACTCCACGGAGGTAACTGGAAACAAGATGGGTTACACACTTCCTCTTTTTTTCCCATGATTATATGAACATATAAATACATATAATGTGTAAAAATTATTTTATTTTTGTAAATGGATCACCCAATGCTTGTCTGGGACTTAATTTTTCCACTTCACAATATTTCTCCTTATAAATATAACATTCACTGAAAAACAAGTTTATTTCGTACCCGGTATGTGTCAGGTGCTAGGGTTGCAACATTTAAGAGAGCTACAATCCCTATTGTCATAAAAGAAGGGCAGACACAATAATCAGAGACTGAAATCTTAAGGAAAAAACGGGGGGGCAGGGGTCCAGGGAGGAAGAAGGAGGGGAGAGAGTCGGGGGCCTCTCCTTAGAGTTCCTCTGAGCTGCGCCGAAGGAACAAAGGTAGTTGCAGCACGCAATCGAGGGGCAGCGCTGGCCCGGGCAGAGCGGACACCGGAAGCAGACTGCTGTGTGCCTGAGGGAGTGAGACCCCGACACAGGGGAATGGCACAAGGGGAAACTGAAGGGCCAGGCCAGGGTCAAAGCACGCAGGCTCTTTCGGCATGTGGGCTGTGTTCTAAATGCAAAGAGAAGCCACCCGCAGGCTTTCAGCAAAGCAGTGGCAGGATGCAACATACGCTGTGAGCACATGTGCTTCCACAGCGCACCCGTTCCATCCCCAACTGATGGACGCTTGGACGATTTCCAATCACTTGACGGATTTTCTGGGCTTAAAGGGTATGCCTATCTCCAGTTCCAGCATATCTTTAGGTCCAGTGGTATGAAGAGTTTACTCATGCAGGGACTGCTGGTCCACCTGATCAAAGCTAGGAGTTTCCCTGGTCGTCCAAAGAATCTGCCTTCCAATGCAGGGGACACAGGTCCAACCCCTGATCAGGCAACTAAGACCCTACATGCCTTGGGTCAACTAGAGTGCCCGCTCACAGTAACTATTGAGCATGCACACACCACAACTAGAGATGCCCATGTGCTGCAACGAGCAAAGCCTGCACAGTTCATAGTATCTCCTTAATGCTGTGACCTCCAGAAAAACATGTCCAGTCTTTATAAGTTCAAATCTGATCATGAAACTCCTCAGCTTGAAATCTTTAAAAGGCTCTTTAAAGCTTCCAGAATTAAATCTCACCAAGAGGAGGCTCTGGCACCTACTTACCCGATCCTACTTCTCCTATCTCGGGCCTCAGTGCTACTGAATTTCTGGCCAAAGGTCCTCCCTCTGCCACGTCCTTCACACTTTTGATGTGTTTCCCTCTACCTGAATGCCCTTCACCTGACTCTGTCCAACTGACTCCTTCTTATCTAGATTTATACCATTCTGTTTATCTTTCAGATCTCATCTTGGGTATAACTTTCTTAAAAGACTGGAGAACAGAGACTGAAATGTCCATATCTGCTAGTTAAGTGCCTGGCCTAGTGCCTAAGACACAAGGAACACTCAGCAAATAGCAAATGTTAACGTGTAAACTTTAAGAATTCTTAAAGTGATGGGAATACCAGATCACCTTACCTGCCCCCTAAAAAACCTGTATGCAGGTCAAGAAGCAACCGTTAGAACTGGACATGGAACAACAGACTGGTTCCAAATCAGGAAAGCAGTACGTCAAGGCTGTATATTCTCACCCTGCTTATTTAACTTATATGCAGAGTACATCATGTGAAATGAAAGGCTGGATGAAGCACAAGCTGGAATCAAGATTGCAGGGAGAGATATCAATACCTCAAATATGCAGATAATAGCACCCTAATGGTAGAAAGCAAAGAGGAACTAAAGAGCCTCTTAATGAAGGTGAAAAAAGACAATGAAAAAGCTGGCTTGAAACTCAACATTCAAAAAACTAAGATTATGGCATCTAGTCCCATCTCTTCATGGCGAATAGATGGGGAAAAAGTGAAAACAGCAACAGACTTTATTTTCTTGGGCTCCAAAATCACTGTACTTGGTGACTGCAGCCATGAAATGAAAAGACACTTGCTCCCTGGAAGAAAAGCTATGACCAACCTAGACAGTGTATTAAAAGCAGAAATGTCACTTTGCTGACAAAGGTTTGTCTAGTCAAAGCTATACTTTTTTTAGTATCATGTACAGATGTGAGAGTTGAAGGCTGAGCACTGAAGAATTGACGCTTTTGAACTGTGATGCTGGAGAAGACTCTTGAGAGTCCCTTGGACTCCAAGGAGATCAAACAGTCAATCCTAAAGGAAATCAGTCCTGAATATTCATCGGAAGGACTGATGCTAAAGGTGAAACTCCAATACTTTGGCCACCTGATGCAAAGAGCTGACTCATTAGAAAAGCCCGTGATGCTGGGAAAGATTGGGGGCAGGAGGACAAGGGGCAACAGAGGATGATATGGTTGGATGGCATCATCAACTCAATGGACATGAGTTTGAGCAAACTCTTGGAGATAGTGAAGGACATGAAGCCCGGCATGCTGCAGTACATGGGGTCGCAAAGAGCAGGACACAACTGAACAACAATGCATAAACTGCTTTCAGAGATCATTTACAAGTACTTTAAAGGAGGGGGGGACATATAGACCAATGGAACAAGATAGAAAGCCCAGAGATAAACCCAGGCATCTCTGGGCACCCTACCTTTGACAGAGGAGGCAAGAATATAAAACGGGGAAAAGACAGTCTCTTCAATCAGTGGTGCTGGGGAAACTGGACAGCTGTGTATAGAACAATGTACACTTCCTAACCCTATACACAAAGATAAACTCAAAATGAATTAAGACTTAAATATAAGACCAGAAACTATAAAACTTTTAGAGAAAAACACAGGCAGAACAATGTATAACATAAATCACAGCAAGATCCTCTATGACCCACCTCCTAGAATACTGAAAATAAAAACAAAAATAAACAAGTGGGACCTAATTAAGCTTAAAAGCTTTTGCACAG